TGCTGGATTCGGAGAAGAGACCCCACCCAGCTCGACATAACAAGCAGATGAGTGATTTCAGTAGAGAGTATAAGACATTGAGTCTCTGGCTGTTACAGGAAAAACTTGCAGATGTGATTCAGGATCTTGGGTTCCTATGATAACCTTTGAGTAGTGGCTTAACAACTTTGGAGAGGTCTAAAGACAATCTTTCCCATGGCAGTAAGTCGTTTGTTCGGCATTCCTGACCGCAGAGCACTGCAGAACATCTGCGAACATGTGTAATACCCCACGTGAAGATGAGCGCTCTCTAGGGAAGCCAGTCCTCAGCAGCTGCTGCTCTCTGCACAGGCCCAGGACGGAGCTCAGGCGGAATGGGCCTTTGGAATGAGTGCCTGTCCCTGCAGGTGGGCCTGGTGCTCAGATCCTTCAGACACATTGTAGTTGCCACTGGCAACACATGTACAGAGCCTGTGACTTATCAATGTGCAGAGTGATGTCACTGAAGACTGCTAATGCCGAAATATAAAGTCCTGCCCTGAATGCGTCCCAAACACCACTAGTTTAAGTCTATTTCATGGTCAGTAGTGACACACTGAGGAGACCTCTGCAAAGTTTTATTTATTTATTTATTAGTTTTCTTGATTTCAGAGAGGAAGGGGGAGAGAGAGAGAAACATCAATGATGAGAGAGAATCAGTGATCGGCTGCCTCCTGCATGCCCCACATTGGGATCGAACCCACAACCTGGGCCTGTGTCCTTGACTTGAATCAAACCCGGGACCCTTCAATTGCAGGCCGATGCTCTAGTCACTAAGCAAAACTGGCTAGTGCCTCTGCAAAGTTTCTAAGCTGCTACGCAAAGGTTCAAATTGGAATCCCGCCAAGAACAGTCATTTTTCCTCCGTAGAACCTCACTTACAATCCCAAGCAACAGAATGGAAGGAAAGTGATTCAGAAATGCCTCCGGAGGTCTGTCTTAGTTTAAACCACGGCACTTCCCGCAGCACCTCTGAGGTGCTCGGAGGCCTGGACATGCTGGGTGACGTCCCTGCTCGGGGACAATGACACTAGAAGTTATGCGCGGCCTTACTCTGCTGCTTTGTGCAGTAAAAGAATAATGTATCATATCACAGGGTTTCCCCAATTTAATGATAATGGTTTTCAAAAGTATTATTCATAGAGTAGTACATCCAAAATCACTGCACTTTTCCTTTGCTCTAGCTTATGAACAACACATTTAGTTTAAAGAGCATTTTCATACAATTGCCTTCCATCAATTTTGTGAGTAAACTGAAGGTCTGTGACTTAGCCGTGAGGGGAACAGTCCAGGGCTCAACCCAGGGCTGCCATGACCAGCACCTCCCCACCAGGGTGCCTCTACCCATAATTCGCAGAGTCTCCCTCTAACTTCACCACAAACAAAGAAACCCGCGGAGAAAATGTGCATTTCCAAATAGCAACATGAAGAATTTGGTAAAACTAGAAAGTCACCCTCCACTTTTATAAGAGCAACAGTCCTTCTGGCAAACTTTGAATTTTACCTCTTTCCTAATTGTCCAAACGCCTTCGATGGGGCACTAGTCAATTATGAAACAGCACCTGAGATGAACCACTTTACTTATGGACAAGAAGTCATGGACGTCTATGCCTGACTATAATGCCGCTGCGCACTCCACTGCAGGCCATGGCCACTAAATCACATCCTGGGGCCGATCAGTTAGAGCTCAGCGGCAAATTATATTGTAAACTCTGCAAGCTGTTCATCTCACCCTCCTTTTCTAATTAATTTTCTATAAAAGAGATGTTCAGCCCTCATCGATTCCATTCATTGGATAGAGCAGCAGTTCTCAACCTGTGGTTCGCAACCCCTTTGGGGGTCAAACGACCATTTCACAGGGGTCCCCTAAGACTATCGGAAAACACATCCTATCTAATAATAGAGAAACATGGTAATTAGCTGTACCTCCGCTACCCTTTCCATTGGCTAATCAGGGCGGTATGCAAATTAACTGCCAACCAAGATGGCGGCCGGCAGCCAGGCAGCTTGAAGCGAACAGGAGGCTTGCTTGCTTCAGTGACGGAGGAAGCCAACGTTCCCCGCCTGCCTTGCCGGCCTCTGAGCTTGCAGTTTAAGAAACATTGTTACAAATATAGAAGCTAAACAAAACCCCAGAAACCTGCTTTCAGCCAGCCGGGCTTCAGCCAGCAGGACCGCAACATTGTTTCAATTATAGAACAAACGCAGATCCCTGCTTTCAGCCAGCCGGGATCTCAGAGCTGGAGTGAGCAGGACCGCAACAGTGTTACAATTATAGAACCCAAACAAACCAGATACCTGCTTTCAGCAGCCAAGGCCTCAGAGCTGGAGCCAAGCCTCAGAGCTAAAGCTGGCCCAGAATAAAAAAAAAAAAGAAAAAAAGGACAGGTTGGGAGCTTCAGTCACCCGCCAGCCTCAAAACGGCCCTCAGCCCTTCACCCAGACTGGCCAGGCACCCCAGTGGGGACCCCCACCCTGAAGGGGGTGTGACCAGCTGCAAACAGCCATCATCCCCTCATCCAGGCTGGCCAGGCACCCCAGTGGGGACCCCCACCCTGAAGGGGGTGTGACCAGCTGCAAACAGCCATCATCCTCTCATCCAGGCTGACTAGGCACCCCAGTGGGGACCCCCACCCTGATCCAGGACACCCTTCAGGGCAAACCAGCCGGCCCCCACCCGTGCACCAGGCCTTTATCCTATATAGTAAAAGGGTAATATGCCTCCCAGCACCGGAATCAGCGGAGCAGCGAGGCCTCCCAGCACTGGGATCAGCGGACCCACGAGGCCTCCCGGCACCGGGATCAGCGTGACAGGGGGCAGGGACCAAACCCCCTGATTGCCCTGTGGCTCTGTGTGTGACAGGGTAGAGCCATAACCTCCCCATCGGCCCTGCCCTGAGTGTGACAGTGGCGGCGCCCCAACCCCCTGATCGGCCCTGCTCTGTGGGTAATAGAGGGTGGCGCCCCAACCCCCTGATTCGCCCTGCTCTGTGTGTGACAGGGGGCAGTGCCCCAACTCCCCTATTGGCCCTACTCTGTGAGTGACAGGGGGGAGCTCCTCAACCCCCTGATCGGCCCTGCTCTGTGTGTGACAGGGGGTGGCGCCCCAACTCCCCAATCAGCCCTGCTCTGAGCCCGACCAGGGGCTGCACCTAGGGATTGGGCCTGCCCTCTGCCACCTGGGAGCAGGCCTAAGCCAGCTGGTCATTATCTCCTGAGGGGTCCCAGACTGCGAGAGGGCACAGGCCGGGCTGAGGGGCCCCCTCTCCCCCCTGAGTGCACAAATTTTTGTGCACCGGGCCTCTAGTATATATATAATTACATATTGTTTTTGTGATTAATCACTATGCTTTAATTATGTTCTATTTGTTACAATGAAAATACATCCTGCATATCAGATATTTACGATTCATAACAGTAGCAAAATTACAGTTATGAAGTAGCAACGAAAATAATTTTATGGTTGGGGGTCACCACAACATGAGGAATTGTATTAAAGGGTTGCGGCATTAGGAAGATTGAGAACCACTGGGATAGAGCTTCGGCCTGCAGACTGAAGAGTCCCAGGTTCGATTCCGGTCAAGGACACAGGCGGGGGTTGCTGGCTCCATCTCCAGTAGGAGGCGTGCAGGAGGCAGGCGATCCATGATTCTCTATCATCACTGATGTTTCCACCTCTCTCCCTCCCCCTTCCTCTCTGAAAGCAAATATATGTCACAGGCCTTCAGTTTACTCAGAAAATCACTGGAAGGCAATTTTGTGTATATATATATATGTACACACACACAGACACAGAGAGAGATGTTCAGAGTCTATTTCCAGCTGTGACCAGTGACAGCGTTATCCCCGCAGGGTTCTATCTGGAGGGAGAGTGAGCGGCTCTGGCAGGAAGTGCAGAGGACTGGCAGCTGCTTTACTCTGTGGCTCCACCAGAGAAAAGACTGAAAGCCCTTGGCACTTGCACTTTGAGTGAATGAGAGCTTCCTACTTCTAGCTCAGTGGTTCTCAGCCTTGGCTGCACATCAGAATCACTTGGGAATCTTTAAATATCCTGATTTATGAGGCCCAGAAATCAGGATTTTAAAAAGATTTTCAGGTGATTCTAACGTGCAGCCAAGGTTGAGAACCACGGCTCTAGCGGAAGTCACTGCACCCAATACGGCTGCTGCGCCTCAGAACACGGCCTCCTATTAAAAGTCAATACATTTACGCAGAGTTCTAGGTCCAGCACCGAGAGTCCCGAAGAGGGAGGAGGGCGGCCAGCTGGACAGGGCACCTACGGACCAGGGGCCGCCCCCTCCGCCCCCCCTCCCCCCCTCCCCCGTGTCAGCGTCTGCAGCCGAGGCAGCTACCCTAGGGGAAACTGCACCCGGGCTTTTTATGCAGGAACGTCTTCATCCTCCAGCGGCCCAGGACTTCCCCCTTCACAGGAAGATACAATGACCGCTCCCCCCAAAACACAAGTCATCCTCTCGCAACTCCACTGCGGTCATGTTTCTCCAGCCTCCAACCCCCGCCCCGGGGTCCTCCTGCCAGTTCCGGACGGTCCCTGAGTCTCGGCCCCATCGGCGTGTCCCCGGGGAGGAGGGCACCCGCTGAAAACGGGGGTCCGCTCCCAGGGCCTGACCCATTCCCTGCACTGTGCCCACGAGTTAGGGGCCAGCAGCTGAAGTTGGGGGTCGGCTGCCGGCCCCACTAACTGCACTGCGTGGAAACGGGGCACCACGCTAAAGTGGGGGACATCCCAAGCCCTTGATCATCAGGCAGAGACCTCCGCTCCCCCGCTCCCCAGCTCCCCCGCCCCACAGGGGCCCGCGACCCAGCGCGGTGCCTCTAAGCGCCTTTCTCCTTCCCTACGTGCACCGCCCGGGGCGCTCAGACCCCGCCCACCGGGGCATGACCACACCCCCCGCACCGTGATTGGCCGGCGAGGAGCGGACAGGCCTCCATGGGCGGAAGTGCCTGTCCTTCCGCAGCCGCTCCCGGCGCCCGCACTCCAGAGAGGCCGGTGAGGCGGGCGGTTGTGGCCGCAAAAGAAAACAGAAGAGAGGAGGGCGGGCGGCGGCGGAGAGTCCGCGAGGACGTGAGGCTCGAGCGCCGGCTCCGCGGGCGCCGCGCGGACACAGGCCAGTCGCACCCGGCGCCTGGTTCCCGGCGGGCGGGCGGGGCGGCGGCCCTGGCGGAGCCGGAGGAGGCGGCGGAAGGTGACCGCAGGGGAAGCGAAAGTCCCACCAGGTGAACCTGCGGAGGAGCGTGAACCAAGAAGGACCGAGCTCGTCCTCCGTGTGCGGTCGGTCGGTCGGGTGGCTCCATGGCCCACACCCGGTGGATGATGCGCCGCCCCGCCCCCCGCCGGTCGCGACAGGAAAGAGAGCGAGCGGGACGCGGAGGGGCTTCGGGTGCCCCGGTGCCCACGCGCCGCCCTTTCCCCCCGAAACCGCGGACGTGAAAGGAAAGGGCCCGCCTTGGGGGGCGTCCCCCCGCGCGTCTCGGGACAGGGCCGCGGTGGCCCCTTCCCGCCGCCCGCCCTGGACCCCTCCTCGTCCGCCTGCGCCTCTCCTCCGCCGTCCGTCGCCCGCGATGGGGCCACGCGCGCGCCCCACGTTCTGGGTATCCTGCCTCTCCCCGCCCCCCACGCGGTGCCCCGGCCTGCACCCCACTTCCCATCGCAGCCCTTTGCCCTCCGTGGCGAGGGGACTGGACCGCGGGTGCGGGGACGGGACGCGGTGGAGGGAGAGGGGTTGGGCCTCGGGACGCGTGTCCTGTCGCCCGGGGTTCCGGGCTTGGCCTCCAGCGGGCGGAACGACGGTGGTTGGTCGGCGACGGTGGTTGGTCGGCGCGGGCGGGGGGGGGGTGAGGGAGGGGCCGTCCGCCCGTGGGGGAGGGTCGGGGAGGCCTCTCCTCTCCCCCAGACTCCGCCTGTGGGGGTGCAAGCGCCCCTTGGGTGCCGTTGCCCCGACCCGCCCGTGGGCACACCTTCCCCACCCCCGAGTCTGGGTCTCCCTGTCTCCGCTGGAACCCCCAGGTGTCCCCCACACAGCACACGAACCCACCCCACGAAAGGCAGGTCGTCCGCCAGGAAGTGGAAATAAACATCCTAAACGTTAGGGCTCTCATCGTGCGGGGCACTGACTCGGTGCGGGTGATGGAGGCGGAGCATCCGGTAATCGCTGTGAAATCCAGGACTCGGAATCCGGCCTTCAAAGCCGTTCATCCGCTGGCCCCGGGCTCG